AACATGTAGTCAGACACAAAGTCGGATGAGTAATGTCTGCTGATGCTTCCATGATCTTCTTGGTCGATTTCGATGCACTTTCTCTATTTTTTATCAGTTGAGATGGAACTAATCAAACGGATGATTTTGCTAGATTTTGCTGAGAGAGACGTCACAGGAATAAAACTTCCCATAAGGTCTCCGGTTGCAATACCGGTCGGTGACTAGTAAATTTGAAGGGGACTGGTAGATGCAGTTGTAAGCATACCACTTTGCGCATATTTCAAGAACGTTGCATCCGTAAAATTTATGTGCCGTCACTGCTGACGGTGGAGCCCGACGAGTTTCAGTGTCCTTAAAATGTTGATGGATACTTAATAATTACCAGTACCAGTATTTCCAATCACTTCCCCATACCGATAGGTTCTGTGCTATGTATTCATAAAAACTTGCAAAATAAGATGGTTCTGGAGAGTGCTTGTCCAGGCACTGAAAACTTCGGCGCTCCTTTTCATGTGGATGGTCGTTTGGGTCAAGTATAAGGACTCGCCGAAGCATGAAACTCATTGTCAAAAATGAACGTCTGCAACCAAACTCAACGACGTATATGGCTTCGCAAATTGGGAGACTCTCTCTAGTTAGTAACCTCTCGTTTTACTTCGCATTTCAGACGATATAGCCACTGTATAATATGCAAGACTTTAATGCATTGAACCATGGTTTAGTGCACTGGACCGTATTATTTTTATCTTGATTGGGTTTCTAATTTGGGCATTAACTATCAGTTAAATTTTAGATTTAACTTCCCATTTTCAATCTTAAATCACCCGTACTTACCACTGTGCACGTAGTTTCATTGGAAAGATGGGAAAACACAATATCGTAATTTTCACCTTACGCAGTCTCACTCTTGTTAGGATGTGTTCGTACGTATAAAAGGTTTTTTGACGTAAATTTCGAAGAAATAATTTCACTTTTAATGATTTATCTTCTGCACCGACCATTATTATTATCGATTTATCGAACGGCATGAGTACTGATTTTTAATTATGGCATCCACTTATTATCATGAATTTCCATCGTGAATTTTTTTTGTAAAATATCACGCATTACTGAGTTGTTGCCTTTTAGTTGCCCTTTATGTAAACTTAGTAAGCAACCATAGCGATCTCGACTTCATTAATCTTAGCGAGGGCTTAGTAAATGATTTTATAAGTACTCTGGACTGCCAAAATATATTTCAAATAATAACCCAAACTTTTCCCATGATTAGCTGCAGTGTACGGCAAAATGTCCTCTCAAGTTCATTCTATTGAATGTGGTTCAATCAAATGCGGCATCATCCACTGTCTCATACTCTGTTAAGCTAGACTTAAAAGTTTCGAAGGCATCTTAAAGATCCATAAGTTTCATATTAGTTCACTTGAGAATCGCTGAAATATTTAAGTAAGCTTAAGAAATGTGATTTGCACGAGAAATGTGGGAGGTGTCTTTGACCATTGGGGATGCAAATCTTTCCAGATCGGTTGTTCCGATTTTACGTCTCAGATGGCCTGCTAGGTCTCATCAAAGCCATTCCGTATTTGCTTCGTTACAGCTATAACTACATCACAGAGTAATCAGACAAAGTAGAATTGTTGAAATCTTTCCTAACCAATCATATTGTCTCTGAAACGGACTCCAATCCCTCATTTCCTCCGTTGTCTGTTGCTCTCCTCACCGCCGTTAATTTTTCCCTTTCAAGTATTCAGAAGCAGATAAACCAACTTATGAACTTGTAGCCATTTAGAACAGACAAAACCCTGAACTCCTTTGTTAAATGGCTAAGAGGTGTTCCTACTTCGCTGAGCTGATTCTTTACCGTCTTCCTTGATAATGATTTCTTTCCCAATTATTGCAAAATTTAAGTTATTATTCCAATATTCGTTCTGATGTTCAAAAGTATTGAAGCGTCGAAAAGTTGTTGGAGAAGACAATTGGGATTATCACTAAAGATTTTTGCATAATAAAGCAAGTTTCTAACTCTTCTCAACATGATCTCCTGCCCGGCATCTCTTCCGAAAGTGCCATTTGTCCTTCGTAAATGACCTATCTGAGGTCGTCGTTTATTTTGATCCTATTAAACCCCTCAATAATGTGCTTCACATTAAAGATATTTCATCGGCAATTAAACACGCCCAATGTGCTATATACGCTGATGATCTCAAATAGGTATGTTTTTTCTTTAAGTCTGTGGCGCAAAGTTGCTTGGAACAGGTGTATACTGACTTACTTGCGCTGTCGGGCAATGAATTATTTCCTCCTAAAAGTCGCTACATGCGCTTTGGACCTGAGAACCTGTCTCAACCAGCCCCATGAAGGAATGTTGTACCATCAAGGACCTTGACGTAAACCACACCAGCCGTCTGGACATCGTGCTGCACATCGATGGAATTTCGACTAGAGGTGCCGATATTTGTGGCTTTACTGTGCATACCTTCTACCCTTCCGAAATCAACTTACGGCCATGTCGGATGTTTATCCTTCCAATTCTTAAATATTGCTGCAAATATTGGGTTTAATTTTACTAGAAGGACGACAGCCAACTGCTTCCTACTCAAACAGATGGCAGCTTACTAACTTAAATTTTATGTGGGTTAAAGTGCTAGAATCTGACCTCTGCCCCCTTTTTCGTATTGATAATAACCTAAATCTGCCTCGGACTTCAGTCCTTACCCCTGTATTTCGTCTATAGAATCCTCGTAGTTTCTCCATCTTCTCCCAACCGCAAACGCTCTTTTTTCCGTGTACCCCACTTTAGGATAATCCATCAATCGATAGTAGATCGGTAGTCTATCTGCCTGTAAGCGAAGACTGCGCCTTTATCTTATGACTAACCTTTTTAGCCCTTTGTTTTTCTCATCGCTCCGTGACTTTGAAAGGACCACTGGGAATTAAGGACGCTACCGCCAAATTACCCTATCCCTTCCCATTTAGCCTTTCCCAAGGGGTTTCGCTTGCCATGGCCTATCGGCAAATATCCCCATTTTTTCAGTCCAAGGATCATGTCCTTCAAAAAACGCCTGGTGTTCCCTAAAAAACCCGAGACAAATCATTTGGGTCATATTGACTCGTATGTTTAAGTCGCCCCACCCCACTCGCCGGTAATCTTCACCAGGATTCCACTCTTACTGTCCACGTTTTCTGTATTTTGTCAGTTTTCTCAATGTTAGGTCTGGTAGGATAGTGCCCTCTAAGGACTTAAAATAAGACTATTGGTAGAAAAATTCTCTTTGGCACTTTCCTGAAAGTATTCTGCTAACAACTCAATGGAAGTGTACCAGCAGCTCCGGCTTTGGTCCTCATTCCCCGGTCAGATTGCCTAAGGCAATGTTATCTGCGCCCTACGCACGGTTCCTTTTCGCAGAATCAGAATTACCATGCAACGCACCCAGGGCAACAAGGGCATATCGATTAGATGTCTAGTCGATTTCGACATGTCGATATGGGGATATTGGCCAGATGCCGACTATGGCCACTTGTGTACATCGCCGCGGTATCTATAAGTCAGGATACTGAAGAACTAGTGTAAGCAACTCTTAGCATACGTATGTGGCAACACTTGCTTACATGTGCTGTCTTTATATCACCGTATACCATTATAACAGTCTACTAGTTATTGCTATTGGGTACTCCTCGTTCGTATTGCAGGTTAATTAAGCGAGACGGGTGTGTTTTACAAAAACTCCACGTTTCTGTATTACAGAAAAATCATGGTAGAAAAATATTTAGAAATACAATGTACACGTTCGTGGGTCTTCTCAGCATAGATGTCTGTTGTAAGTAGCCGTTTTCGCGCAGGTTTCGTACGTCCCTCTTCGGCGGTGGGGAGGATCCCCTTCCTTGTACTGGGACACAGGGCAATTGAACCTACCCTCCAAGAGTGGGCTACATGACAGGCGGGGTGTAAGGGTGTCCAGCGGTGGGTTCATGTGATGGTCGTAGTAGGTCCCTCACTTGCTTGCAAGTGCAGACTTCGCCTAGTGTCCATTTGTTGGCGCCCAACTCTCACAGATGGCTCCCCGAAGCTGGGCTCTGCCAGGTGGTCACACCCCGGTAGCCGCCTCGACCAGCGGGCTAAACCAAGTGAGGGTATCCGTGCGTGCGCCTGCCCACACGGTAATGTGGACCCCGTTGGCCGGATAAATTTTTGCGTAGGCATCGTCGAGACGAGGCTCCGTCTGGACCTCCGCAGGAAACTACGTGACAAATAAACCCAGGTTGCAGGCTATTTCGGATCGGTCTTCCATTAAACCAAGTCCGTGGCCCATAGTAGAGTTCGGCAGTCGTCTGGGACAGCCGAGCAGCCCTATTTAGGGAGGCATGGGGTGCCCGCAAGGGGAGGGGTTAGGAAAGGTGCCGTAAAAATTTCCAGTAGCCACGCTGTCTGTAGGCTGACCGTGTCCGCAGACAAAAAAAGTCGAAACAATCAAAGCAGAAACAACAACCTTCATTCTCTTCCTCTTCCTGCCCATT